CCTTACAACGATTCAGGACGAATCCACTTCTAGTAATTTGCCAATGTCGCTAAGGCGGTTTCTCCTGCAGTTGGCAAATTATCCGCGTTCACCCGACGAAGAGTCCAATCCCCTGAACGACTTTGCCGATTTTCCCAATCTAGCCAGCTTCAATTTCGCCCTAACAACTGAAGGTACATTCGCCTTAGGTTTTTATTTTTTTTTCTTCCCTCCCCCTCTGCCACATGATGCCCCCCCATCAGTTACTCACCCCATCCCTGTCTCCTCCCTGTTCACCCCTTTTCAGGATCACGAACACCAACAGCTGATTCAACAGTCACCGCGGCTGCTGGCGCTGCTGAGTCTGTTTCAGATGACAAGAAAAATCTGCGTGATTTCCTCGAAAAGGGCCTGAAAAGGGTTGATTCGTCTACGTCCGCCACGGAACGTACTGGTATCGGACGTTCACGGGGTCTCACTCTTGACGAATTATCCACATGCATAGATACCTGCAGGCAGACGGGAAGTTGGTCAGATCTTCATTCCCTCATCGAGAATGTTTTCACATCCATCCCCGCGCTGGCCGCAAGTTTTCCCCTAACCTCGTGCGAATCAGCGCGTGCCTCTAATTCCACCAAAACCCAACGATCTGAGCCCCTACCACAAGATATCGACATGTCCGAATCGGAACCACGTGTAGTTGCTTCTTCAGCCATATCGTCCCATCCTCCAGAGGAATCGGTTTCCTCCAAAGCCGATGGTGACATCGACATGCGAACAGGCAAGTCTGAATCAGTTCTAAAATCAGCCATAGCACGTGTTTGTGTTGCTTTTGTTTTCTCAATCCAATAACCTTTTTTTCGATTTCTCAATACCATTCCAGGCTTTCGGTGATCGGAATTTATGCATGGTTGTCGGAGACACATGAAAGTAGGTCAGTTTTTCTAGTTCGATCGTAGAGGAACGTATTTGTTAGAGAAGGATTGAGCCCAGTTGGAACGAGAGCACCTTCATCGTGGGTAGGAAGTTATTTGGACAGCTTTTCGGGTCTCGTAACTCACCGTTTTCCCAAACTCTCCACTGTGTTGGTGGATGCGCACATAACAAGAACATCGTTTGAACTAGTTAGTTTTATGTCTTTTTTCGCAATTAATTGGAGACCAGCCATTTTTGCATAATATACTTTCTGCTCAGTCAAGTGGTTGCA